CAAGCGATATCGCACCCAGATGTCCGCTACCCAGGTGAAGGTGATGAAGTCGCTGTTCTCGGACTACAAGACGCCCACCATGGCCGAATGCGAGATGCTCGGACGCGAGATCGGACTGCCGAAGCGCGTGGTTCAGGTGAGTCTGATTCTCGTGGTTCTCTAATTAGTGGTTCTTCTCGTCGAGTCTCTCTAACCAATCTATATAATCTCTAACGTCTGTAATCCATGTTACGATATCCAGTGAATGTTCAACGACAGTGCGAAACCTCTAATCCTTCTAATCTGAACCTATCGAGTAGCTGAAACTCGCGTGATATTAGCCAATATAAGCAATTTTTCGTCGATGTGAACAAGCATTCACGTTGTCACGTTGTTAATTCCATATGAATGGAACTCCATCTACAATTACATGTCTGTCGCGTTTATTCCGATCGGGTAACTCGACTCGTCGATATATCCCCCTCCGATTGCTCGTCGATTTCACATGATAATCGAGTCATGGTAATGGGTCTAATAGAAAGGAGTGGCAGGTATGGTTCCAGAACGCCCGTGCAAAAGAGAAAAAGGCTAGACTGGCGGCCGGTTTGCCGGCCGAAGGCTCGGCCGTCCAACCTCATCGCGGCCCCACCGGCCCGGACGAGTGTAGACTCTGCTCGGTTCGATACTCGGCCAAGTCGCCGCTTCAGGAGCACGTATTCTCACGGCGACACATCGAGTCGGTGCGTGTCGCCGTCGAGGAGGGTAGCCTCGTGCCGCCAACACCCGGCGCACCGATCGTTCCTGGCGGCAACAGCGGCGCAGCAGGAATCGGTAGCTCGCCGGTGGTCGGACCTGGTAACCAGCAAACCAGCCAGCAGCAACAGCAGCAGCAATCGGACGAAAACATGATGTACGGATCCTTGTTCCTCCATCCTACGGCGATGTTCCAGTCACAGCAACAGCAACACCCGGGCGCCGCAGCGGCTAGCACAGCTACCACTACCGCCGGTGAGTGTCTGGCTGACCTCTTAGACTCGTAAACGATCGTTTGGCCCGCGTTCAGTTCGAAATTCTGTCGTTTTTT